TAACATTCGCTTTAGAATATATGCGTTTAGTGTGAAATTTTATTCAGTACTTATCCTTGGTTTTATATACAATTTGTGCTGTTTATGCTTCTGCATGAGACCTTCCTTATATTAAGTATTCTGGTTTCTCTATGTTACTTTATTCATAATTTTGGGTTATATTTGTCCCTTACATGTACAAATATGTTTACATAAAGGCGGTGGTTTCATGCATATATTGCTATATATGTATAAATGTGAAAATGAATGTAGGATTGTTTGTTCTAAGCCTGATGTTGCGTGTAAGATTTACATGGTCTCTGCTTTTTTCGCTTGATAATTTATGTTGTAGAACCTGATGGTACGATCAAATCGATTTCCACTGTCTATGTTCTTAGTACATCATTCACCAATGCATTATGCGGCCTCTCTCTCTTGCATCTAACCATTGTATTTGATTGCATACCACACTAGTTCTCTAATGTGTCCTTCAAGATTTGAATACCGTAGGTTCATAATTTATTAACTACCACAAGTACGATTAACAACTGAATAAAGATTTCGAAGGTTGCTGAATTTTTTCTGGTGAATGAAGTTCTGCTTTCCATCGATCTTGCATCAGCTATTATTTTTAAGCCGCTTTTTTCTGTTGAGATTGTCGTAATTCTTCTATGGCAGTTTGAGCGCTCATTGAAAGTGATGGCACCAGTGACATACCTTCTATAGTGTCTGTAGAAATGTGAGGTAACGTTGACGAAGCAGTTAGACGAGTCAGCTTTCTGTAATTATAGATTAGAAGAGGCGAGTCCTACGTGCGATTCACAATGATTGTGGTTGTTTCATGTAATTGAGTGTGCTGAATGCTTCCTAAGTTTTGCGTGGTGGTGATAGTGGTTGGCGTTTTAGGCTATTTACCGCTATGCAAGGTATCTATCGCTACATTGAGGGCAACTTTAGTTATACTTTTCGTGTCAAAGTTATGGGTTAAGACATTTAATAAAGCCGCTTCACGATGAACAATTTTTATGGAAAAGTGTGTTTTTTATTGGAGTGAACAGTGTTTCCTAAGCTATGAGAAAATTCGATATTTCCAGTCATTATTAGAGGTCAGCATGATTCTTCGTAAGGATGGGTCATTCATATATTTATGTGTTATTTGTAATTATCTCAGCTTTACTCACCTTTTTTCTACTTTCTTATCGTCCTCTTCTTTTTTAGCTATTTTGATCGAGGTGTTCTGAAATTTAATGTTGTTACTTACGAAGATTCACGAATGCTTTGGCAAGTATCAAAATCACCTCAGTGAGAGGGATGTTGAGGCGCGGTAGAGGTTCTAATGGTGGAAGATCCGGAAATGTGCTGGTTATCCTGCGATCAATTATAATTCTGAATGCAGGAATACTCTCAGGTTATTTGCTCACAGAATATGAATAAATCGAAAAACGTTTTATACAGAAGATGTATTCCTATTTACTTTTATTGCATAGTTTCGCATCTGATTGGATAACAAGCGTGTTAGTTATTGTTGTTTGTTTGTTGTTATTGTTTGTTGTTTAACATTTGTTGTTACTTCACTTTAAAGTGTTGCTGAAATTTTCTTTGTATGAAGTAATGACGTATTAAAAAATATGGAGCCATGGTCTGTTACAATAATCTATAGCATTGTAACTCTAGGACTGTAGTCGTTTTCGAATTGTATGATTTCTCAGTTGAATGGAATTCACCTGGAGACCTGGCCGGTTTGTGGAGGAGGTGACGGAGGGCTGACATTGGCTGAAAGTAAGTAAACTATTGTTCATTTTTACGAATTATTTCTCGCAAAAACTGATGACTTTTGGGATTGCTGTAGCTCCTTTGCTCTAATCTGGAGTGCTAACGAGTAATCACCCTAACACTGTAAATTCGCCTACTTTTCGTTTGTTGAATAAATCTTCGTTAATTCGAAGTGATGTCCTCTAATAAAGATGTAGATGGTTCTAACCAAATGTGATGTTGAATATTTATGCCTTTAATTTCGTTGTCTAGCAATTATCGTCTATGGAGGAGGTAGTCGGGCTCGTATGTGTTTTCGCCACAGGCTCAAGGTTCTGCTATGCTCTGTGTTTACCAAGATGTTAGGTTGAGCTTGGTTTCCTCTAGAATCTCAGAAGAGCAATGCTAATGGGTTCCCTGATCTTCTTTACAGGCGTTCTATAGCTGTTTTGAGCCAGAGGACATTAGCCTCCTTGCGACGAGAATTCTTCAACGATGGCAGCGATTCCTAAGCCACATGAGTATTACGATCATTGATGCAGGATGATATTACAGGCCGAACCAGGGATTTTTACCGAAAGCTGAAGAAGAAGGAAAGCAAACCCAAAAGATTAATAAGAGAAGGCTGTATGCTAAGCGATATGCTTGGCAGCGTCGTTGCCAAAGGACGGTGATAACCGGTAAGTATAAGATTTTATGATGTTTTTACGAAATTTAGTTTTTTTTTATAAGAATTTACGTAACGTATCTCTACGAGTGTCTCATATTAAAAAAAATGAACATTCAAAGCACTTGTCCTTTGCAGGGAAAACCAAGCTTAAAACATTTGCGAAAATGCGATTTTTAGACCATTGCACGCCAGAGATAGTATGTCGAAGTCAGGCACATTCATATAGGTTTACAATAGGTTCGATTTGACACACATCGTTCTTAATGGGGCAGTTCCTGCTTGGTCTTTTACTACTGGGTCGAGGTTAACCGTAATTATGTACTGTTTTCGATGCGTGCGTTTCCGAAGCCAGTTCAGCTTTTCAACTTTAACCAGTTCATTGACCTTTCTAAATTGAAGGAAGCACAACGTGATTCTATAAATCGTTCCTAACAAGGCACAAAGCAGATCTTTTTGCTATTATGGATTTCAGATTTTTTGGAGCCTACGAACCTTCCTTTTTGCTTTTCTCTTTGTCGTTGAGAGAACACAGAACCGAGTGAGTAACTACGATTTCGTCTCTAACTACGCATCGCTGTCCCCTGTGAAACTCTTATGCTTGCGGCTTCTTTTTGGACTACAGTTTCTTGAATCATTTTTTAACGGCGATCTTCCTTTAGGACTTGCTTAAGAAACTACATAAACAATATTTTGACCACATGTAGTGTTTGTGGAGGATACATGCGATGCACATTATTGTTGCTTTGATCTTGCACTATTGGCTATCCACCCGCTTCTCCCTCCTCTCCCAACACTCCTAAGTCGGAAACTTTTTACGAGACTTGTCCTGTACCATGAAAACACTGAATTAATACACTGGTAAAGCACTGAAAGCCATTTTAAAGATGGGATATGCTCTATATTTACGTCTATTGTGCCTAATGGATTAAAATGAACAGCACGTCTTTAAAGAATGGATCAATGCCAAAGGCTTTATCTTTTAATGATATCCTAGATAAGTTTTCTTCTAACTCTTAATTCGATGAAGTAAAATCTTTTAGATAAGTTATAATAAGGGCAGATGTTAGATACGAGTAGATATGTTTTGTAATACGCTTCGTAAGTTTTCAAGTATTTCTAGCCATGGAAACACTATCAGCACTTGCCGATAATATCTGTGCTTTCATCATTGTGCTAAGCGACGACGTCATAGTGGGGTAGAATTGTGTGGACATGCACCGTGTCTTTTCCACTGTTAATCACCATGAAAATTATCATGTATATCTTATATACCTTTCGAATGAGATATCGGTGTTACATTTTCAGTTATTGTAGGCTTTTCGTTTTTCATTGGTGGTTCATATTTCTAATTACCTGAATTTAAATTTGTAATATTTCGAATAAAAATATTATACAATAAGTGATTGAACTGAAATATCACCATTCCAGAATATCACAAATTGTACGAGTGTGTGTGTATGTATGCGTGTGTGTCAATGTCTGTATGTGTATGTGTTTGTGTTTGTTTGTGTATGTGTATATGCGTGTATGTGTGTGTTTAAGTGCATACACGTATGTAGGTGTGTGTTTGTCTACGTAACTATATATATATATATATATATATATATATATAGTGGCGCGTGTAGCCCCGTGCTCGGGGACGCACAGCAATACACACGGGATCGATTCCAGACGCACTAAGCCCTGCATCTCTCCGGGATCGACAAAGTGGTACCAGACTCGTCTGGGAGGATAGCAGCACTGTCTCGATACGCCGGTGGGTCACCGCGAATCGTTGTAAAGCACAAATATGCGTTCAATCATCTCCAACGTTGCTTAATGAAGTCGAATGCATGGCGCACCCCTCAGAGGTAGATCGAAGCCGAAAGCTTTATCCTTTATATATATATACGTATATATGTATATATATATATATATATATACATATGTATATACATGATGTGAATGCTATACAAGGATGTTGCAAGGAAGGATGCACTTGATGGCACCTGCCGTTTTAAGAAAAGTGGGAACAAGCCTATTTCCTCGGTCGAATTTGTGTGGTTTCCACCACGTTTCCATCTCCCTAATGTTTCTGGAAAATTTTAAAAAGATACTTGTTCACTGTTAATATATAGTTAAACCTCCAAACTCATCATCATCGCCACAGAAGGAAAAATGGTTCTTATATATGTTCAGATTTACTGTTTATATCAAGTTTTTAGTCTTTGAATCTTTATTTGCAAATTACTGTTGTGATTCTCTTGTTGTGGGTCTTTATTTCGATACATAGAATAACCATGTTCGCATATCGTCCGCTTACGACCGGTTCACCTGTGGATTTGCCTACAACTTCAAGATCTGTAAACTTCTGTTCCTATTGGTATGGCAAATGCTGGTCCAGCTTGATTTTTCCTAGAGACCTGAGACAACCGTGCTAGGGCATTCTCGTTTTTTCACCACGAGTAGTTGCATGTCCTTATTGGATCGAAGAAACATCTGCTGCTTTGTTTCCAGGATTCTTCCATGACGGCAGTAAATTATGTGATTAATTCACCGCCCGCTCGAAGAAAATGTATGACTGGAAGCCCGGTCTATGCCTTTGTTGTATTGCAATTGGCTAAGCATAGTGTATGGTGTAAATGTTAAACCTGCACTTTGAATGTCGTGCTACCTCTGTAGAGTGGTTTACGCATTGTAACAATAACGTACCAGTCTTGGAAGGTTGTTTTTTGAAATTAGGATCTTCTTCGCAAAATCCAGAATGTGTCATATCTTGGCGTAGCCCTATACGGCAGTTGCATTTTCCTAGATCGCAGTACTGAGCGGATTCAGGGCAATCATCGTCGGTGTCGCAAACGGAAATGAAAATTTTCGTGGGAAATGGAAGTCAACTAAGCGAACTTAAAGAAGAGTGGAAAGAAGAGCAAGTAAGGAAGTTTTAAAAGGCTTACTAAGTGATTGCCATAAACACTGACAATCCTGACAACCATTTTCGTTGATGTATACGAAGCAGTTTTTCGCGCATACTCGTGGTTCGGGGCATCCTAGAAGTACTGGAACATTTGTGTATTGAATAAATATGAAAGGAAATATAATCAGAACCATAGCAGTTTTTCAGTGCCTGAATAGGGCGCTTCATAACGTGAACTTCATGCGTTTATAGGACATACATGCTCATCATTGTGTACACATTGGATTGTAGCCCATCATGTTACTAAATAAATATGAAGCACAGGTGTTATACTTGGCAGCAGTTGCTTATTGTATCGATGGGCTAACTCGAGCCGGTTACAATTACGAAAGCGTCGGTACCGTGTAGCAGTCGGTATCGTGTTTCGTAGCACCGAGCGAACGAAGCAGAGTAGTATCGATGCTAATAACAGAATTCGATTTACAAAGGTGTTAATGTTACTGTTTACTAAAATGTCATCAGCGGACATTCAATGGTAGAAGGATGCTACCGAATGATGTTACTTCATTCGAGCCGTGCTACATTCTCCACTGGATTCGACTCTGTGAACACGAAGTACTACATCGTCGGAAGAAAACTGTTATTTACGCTCGATTCGAATCATTGCGGCTTTGGAAAACAGGAAGCGGCGAAACATTAACCACCATGAAACTTTTCTACTAATACTGTATAAGCTTTTCAACAGAATAAATTATCGGTCGTTTATATCGAGGTTAAGTGAAAGTCGGTCTACAAAAGTACCTTCAACAGCTCCTTGTCGTAATGCTATGCGTTCGGGTAGCTGATGGGCAATCTCGGTGGTGGTTATGTTGTTAGCCGTGCTTTTCCCGTCGTCTTCCTCGGTAATGTTTGAAATCGAGATATTTCTTATCTCTGCAAGAGTTTTCACTCCTTGAGAGTTGGACGTTTTTTATTCGAAGTTTTATTTCCTTTATAATTCAGACAAAACCTAGTTATTCACGTTGATGTCGTACGATTGGAGCTATCAACATCGTTTAGAAGATTTTCTATGACTTGAGTTGCAGCTTTAATAGTTTGTTTAGGTTAGCAGCACATTATAAAAACTTTACAAAACTCGTTACCACGTCTAAATTTGTTCACTTATTTTTCTTTTGTCCGTTATGGGGCTTCTTTCCACAACGTCTTTAGATGAAGCGTTTTCAGTGTTCTTGATGTCGCATAAGTTCAAGGGTGGAATTATGTTTCCGAGAGATTTCATCGCATGTAGCGTTATTATGGTCGTTTCATCGAGAGTCTCGGGAAGCAGTGTTAGTCAAATTGGTTCAATTAATGAAACTATTGGTATTAACTATACACAGCTTCAATTAATAAATGTACCATACCTTCAAACCCTGAACCCTCGGCTTCACTCGGCGATAACTGGATACCCTTATAGACGTTACGATTAGCATTCATCTCCCCAGATGTCTTCAGTACAAGATACCCATTTTTCTGAGAAAAACAGCAATATTCCCCACTGTAATTCTTTGAATGAATCAAACTCACCTCAGTAAATAGAGGCTCTACAACCCCATCTACCACTCCTAATTTCTTATATGAAGCAGTTACCGTTGATTTATACATTGAAGTAACTGTAAAGTAAAACGTTTTATGCTATTTTATTTCCCGGAATGAAGTAATTGGTATTGGTATTTAGTCTTCTTCATCGGAATTATGGCTGAAAAAATGGGATGATTTGCAGTTTTATTTTTTTTGGGTATGGAAAAGACAAACCCTTGCTTGTGGATTTCGTTTTACTAACATCAATGCGAGGTTCCCCTGGTTGGTATGGTTCGTAGCCAGGTTGTTTTGCTTCAATATGTCCTATATGGTAATAAATTTATTCAGAAAGAAATAATCGTCTTTGCTCATTGCTCATCGGAATAGTACATTTCTGGGTTTTAGTTACATTGCACATACATTAAAACATAGCATTAGAAACATTTGTAACGTTTCTGCGTGCAAAATATAGATATACGTATAAATACAGGTACCTCACTTAACTTTCCCACCTGTTTTCGAAGACCTGAAAGTCCAAACGGCCTTAGCGGTGCTTAATTCTTGGTGTTACTATTCTCTTCAATCCACTTAATCATGAAAAGTGATAATATCGCGGCTACAAACAAATCCTTAGCTCCAAAAACCCGGCCACTATGAGGTGTATTAGTGCTGAACACTATTTCCGAACATCCACCAAGTAAACAGTTCGAGAAGTATGTTCTGACTTTTATTTGTTGCCTACTCTTTCTTCAAGACAGAAAGCAGGCGATTGTTTTTTTTTTTTCGTTTCGCGTTCAGAGAGAAATGAGAGTGGAGTTGGGCGAGGCTTACCTGAACGTTTTATTGAACCGCGAGTCTTGGAATCCGATGTCGGTGTGAATAACTTCAACCGGTCGTGGAAGAAAATGTCCTCCTAAATCGTTAGATTCACCAAGGAACCCCTTTTAGTCCTTTGCAATTTAGTAAAATGAACACGTCGAATGTACCTCAGCTGAAAATGGTGTTGTTTCCGTTGATATAAGCTCATGACCAGTGGTTCTGCTTGAACGTGCATATTGGGAAAGCAGCAGTAGAAGAACAATTCCCATCTGTAGGAAATAACTGAGCATAGAGTTTGATAGAAATCGTTGAATGTATGATGCGATAGTCTTGAAAATCGTTAAAGAATGAAGGTCCGTTCATACGTGGCATGAAATCATGACTGTATGGAAATTTTGAGTTTCTAGAAACCTCTTTTTTTAAATAAATGACTGACTTTATGATCAAAAGTGAACCCCAACGAACACCGAAAGTGTACTAATAGCATATAAATCGGCGACATATTGAAGAAATTAAATAAAGAAGGTAGTCTGTTCTCCAGAGGTGGTAAACTAAGAAAACTTGCTAAAAGTTTCTTGTGATGGCAGTCTTTTTTAATTGCAAATAAATAAAGTACACATTTATCTATGAGGTGCTCTGAATGAGAACATTACGCCGACCCCAAATTAAATACTTTGCAACAATGAGCAGAGAAAAATGTGGTAAAGAAAACAAAAAATGTGACCGCGTGCTATCCGTGCACGAGAAACCGGACGGGGCACGGACAAAATCGCTCGACTCGCCTTTGTCACACATTTTTTTTACGTATTTAATTGATTCAATGTCGTCAAGAATAACGCTTCCCGTGTTGATCGGACCCTCACCGGCGTTCCATGCATTAGACCAATTCATGGCATCATTTTATGGTTGAATGAATATCTAGCTTATAAGATACCCTGTTGTTAACTTATCAATCTATCAAGTCTACATTTTTCTTCCTCTGAAACGATTCCGATGCCAATTCGCCTTCCTCAGGGGACGGGGGATGGAGGGCTTGATGACCTGGGGTGCGGTATCGAACCAGGGGCTGGTCCAGTTTGTATTGTAAGGCACTTGTAAGCGCTGTGCTATAGGGGCATTGTATTAGAGACACAAAGTTAAATGAATACAACAAAGTCTAGCGTAACTATCTTGAATATGCCAGCGAAATCTCAGCTGAATCCTGTCTCGTGATCGGGAAGAATACATTTTATTGAGGGATATGTTGATGTGATATATAAACAAGTCTCACGAAAAGTGATATATAGCAAAAGTATCATCTACTGGGATTCTCAAGATGGCTTTTCTGAGAGTTGTTTTGTCAGGCGAATACACATCTTTGGAAGCAGGATGCTTACATCGCACCCTGATTAGCTTAGAAATTATGAACCCATAACAAGTAAAAAAAGTGACAACAAAACCGTTGTCAAAAATATAGTGAAAAATAAATCTGCTTTTATTTTCAGCTTTTCCTTTTCTATGCTCTAAAACAAAGAAGACAATGATGCTGAGATATTTGCAGTCCCAGGGATGAGTGATTGCTGATGGCATTGATCCATAGAAAAAGCTGAGAGGCAGCCGAAATGAAGGAGCCGTATGGTGTGGTAGTGAACGCAATAGCCACCTGAAAGGGTAATAGTGCGTTCATTCTCTACCGCAGACACCTGCGGTCCGGAGTTTCGCAGATATCTCAGCATCATTGTGGCTGTATTTCGCAAAATACCCTGCCATTAAGAAGAGTAGGTAGTAAATAATAAGTTGAAACCAAGAAGGCATTTTGAAACAGTAAAAACTACTTTGATTCATCGGAAGGCTAGTGCGAGTCATTTTTTAGGCAAAGTATGCATTTATTTGCCTTCCTGATGCTTATTAGAGTTGAGTTCATGGCGGATCCTTAAAGGCTTGATCAAAGCAGGACGCTTTGTTTTTTATCGTTTTATGTGGAAAGAAACCTACAATTTTATGGTAGTTAGAGGCTGTTCCTGCATGTCAAAGGTTAAAGTACAGCAGGAGACTCTCCTTTGCCTAGCACTGTTTCGCAAGCTGAGAATGAGTTGGAGATTTGAATCCGGGAACCAACCGGATATTGAACCCAAGCCAAGGCAGTCTAAGCAGTAGTTCGTGGCTCCTTATTTGCCAGTGTTCCTTGGGTGAGTGGAACCTATTGAGCTGCGAAATGAACGAATAGACAGTTTACTGCAACTTACTCGAATCGCTTGAAAACGGAGTAATAAATATTACGTACTAGTAGTAGGTGATGGAAAGAGAACATGCACGGGAAAGAAATCAGAGTTGGGAAGTCGATTAAGCTAGCAATTGTTCAGTTGAAATTAACAGTTGACAGATGCGTTACTGGGAATGTAGATATTTTATTACGAATTCTCTCAAAACCAAGTTGGTGGTATCACAACATCGTTTTAACGAATTTGAATTATAAGCGAACAAGGTTGTGAAGATATAGGCAGTGAATGTGTTGGATTCGCCCAGTCTTTCTAGTTCGTTGTAGGTCTGTTATAGGTAATGATGGCAAAAAAAATTGCGTTTGCACGGTTTTAATTTTCTAACGATCGTTACAAGAAAGCAAATAAGACCTTGAAAAGGTTAGCGAATCGAAAAAGCCGTTGACATATTTCAACTGCGCATATTTAACTAGCTAGAGGACAACACTCAATGACTAAGTGGTGAAGAGGAGGCAGGTCGACAGAAAACCAGACGCGCGCACTCAGTTCCTCCGATAGACCATTATTCTCGACATAAACAATCTCGTTTTTCTCTTGTTTTCGTTTGTCCTTGTAGGATATCGTTAACCTCCTATTCAGTGATGGTTTTTAAAATCTATAACTGCCTACGACTATTCCAAAGTCCTGATGAAAACTAGGTGTACTTGGAGAATAGTTTGTCTTGTTTAAACTCCTTTTTACTGTTATTGTATAACTGTATATATATCCTATAGAAGTAAAAATGTTTGTATTATTGCCTGTTCTACAATAATATGTTTTTACTGTAATTTGCTCTTGAGTGTATTGTAGCACAATGTTACAATGCGCTACACAAGCTGAACACTATATTTTCAGTGTGATAATACTTCCAAAGTTTTGTGTATGTGCGTGTGTATGTGTACCGCAATAGTTA